AAAAAATACAAAATTCAAATAAAATTTATTTAAACTATTTATGGTAAACAAAAATACGTCAGATAGCAAAAATTAACTAATCGTACTTTGAACAACGCTGAGCCCATGGCATGCCATTAATTGAATACAATGATGAACAGTTCTTGCATGTACCTAAAATAATCTAAAAGCAAAAACATTAAGAATTTAGGTACATTTAGGTAATACAAAATCATAAATAATTACCAATCTGTTGAAGATGCCCTTTCTACCAATATTGGCAAATACTGCTCAAAATAAAACAATTCTAGTTTCGGTACCAGATTTTGCAAAAACTCTTCATCCCTATATACTGTAACACAACAGCTTCCTAAAATGATAATTTGTTCAATTGCAAGCAATATATTCAATATGTAATAATAAAATAGAACATACCTGCAGGTGACCAAATAAATAAATCACACTCATACATACCGCACACATACAATGATATTTGGCACTGAGTGTAATAAGAATGTCCAGTGCATAACTTTAAATTGCCATTGATGTGTTGAAGGTATGGTACATTTACTATTCCATCCTCACTTACAATTGGTTTACTGTTGCAAGAAATTGGACACTTTACCTCCATTAATTTCTTCGCGAAATAACCATCAACCAGTTCTTAAAATTATATTTATCCTGACTGTAAATATAATACATATTAATAATTATAAACAAATTAAAATTTTGAATTTCATTATTCTTACCTCTGTTATTGTAAATAAATAGAAGATCTATGAAGAGCAAATGTAAGATACTACAACAAATTTCTACTAACCTAAAAATGCACGTGTTAGACCAAACAAATGTTTGCTAGAGCAATTGAAACTCTCAAATGAGTCATGTGATGATCATTCGCCATATTTGTTGGGCAACAAGTTGCACTGAAAATCCGCTAGAGGAGAGCTTGCCCGTTCCCTATTGTACACATTTGCGTTCTTTTATGTTCGTTCGTGTTCGTTCATTAAGGTGCGTCCACACAACGAACGAACATGATGAATAATATGCGCAGATTAAAAATTTCTAACAAAAGTGACCCACGCGCATGTCAAAATCCATGTTCGTTCGTGCTCGTTCGCTAGTGTGGTGCACCTTTAGGTGAGGCGCACCCGGCGCACCCATATACTCTTCTTTTATCTATGGTTTAATCTATGGCTTCACTACGCGACTGTCAATTGCTATTGCTATCCATTCGCTGTCGTTTCTATGGCACTTCCCAACCACCCATGATTTTTCACTGTTCACTGTTAGGTGTGTGGAGTGTCATTGTAGTGTGTAAGTGTAGTATTTATATGGAATTTGATGGTATGAAATGACTTACATGATGACTGCCTTGAAAAATCTGTGACTTACAATTAATAAAAATGGTAACAGATATAAATTGGAAATTATAGCATAAAAATAAGTCAAAATGACTAGTGTTAACGAACAACTGGTTAATAATTTGCGAGTTGAAATCGAAAGGTTGACTCGCGAGTTAGACCAAGCAAGTAGCGAAAAAGTACAATCTGCTCAATACGGACTGTTTTTTATAGAGAAAAAAGTTCATTGCAAAATAAATGTGAGGAATTAGAGACCTTGTACGAAACACCAGGCATGAACTCGAAATTGCACAAGAGGTCTGTAATAAATGAATATTTTAACCACACAGGATGAAATTATTTTATATATATTTTATATATATATATATATATATATATATATATATAAACCTTAATTTGTTAAAAATGTAAATTAATACACATTTAGTAATTCTAATAATTACAGTCTCTATATAATCTGGACACATGACAATTATTACTTTGCACTATCTCTCATTTAATTAGTTTTTGCATGTTGCTTTTACATGTTGATCTAACTTGTGAATAATCTGAATTATTTTATGAAAGTGACACAATTTATATAAGCAGTGCAAGTAATATGTTTTTGTAATAATTTATTTGCAAATTACTTAAGTATATGGTTTAAATCTTACCTATAACTTCATGTAAATTTGAAGAGAAGTTTGTGCAAATTTATGCTCAATTGTTCATAATTTATATTACAAACTCGTAAAATTTATATATTGGCTTCCTTTTTTATTAATGAATTATAAATGCACTTCATATTTTTTATAATTGAAATGATTATATCTCATCACAAGCCAATCATTATTACATCATGGTAATTCTATATGCAAAATTTGTCATTTAATTTATTTTAGTCACATTTTGCTTTTACTTGAATTCTGTACTTAATTAGTGAGTATAAACAGTGAATTTACAATGTTCCGTGGAACTAATATAATTTATTGAAGCACTAGTACAGTGAGATTTATTTAGTTAGCAATTCATTACTGTATAAACCTTACTTACAATAATACCATATTGCAAATATTTAAGAAATTCATAATTAAAGACAATTTATTTTCATTTGCAGTTAACTAACTTTTCAAAAATGAATTGGTATTGAATAACATAAATATTTTTAAAAAGTTTGTAAAAACCGCCAATCTATTTTTTAAATAATATAAGATTTAAGTTTAAACATCATTATGGGTACTTTCAATAAGAATTGATGGGATTAATTGACATTAATTAGAAATAGATGTAGGTACTTTGTAAAATTAAAAATTGGTTGATGTTAATTTATGATCTCTATGTCGTTCAATTGCTTCAATTTAAATATCAGTAAATCTTGAAACTTCATATTAACATTTAATTTTTCTAATATGGTATCATATATAAAGATGATTTATGAAGCAATATTTGAAGAGAATTGAGCGGTGAAAAAAGTAATAGTCATAATGTACAAACCGATGTGGTAATTGGTATTTTTGGTAATGCTATTTGCAATGTAAATTCTATCTTTCGTGAATGTAAATATTAGCTTATCTGTTTTTTCAACTACAAGAATATTTTAAAATGTTTGATATTTTAAACTATTAATTTTTTAAACATGATTGTTTAATTATGACTAATGTTTTGAAATATTTGTACTAGTTTAGCTATGTTAATGACAATTAACATAGTTCTATATATAATATATATATATATATATATATATATATATATATATATATATATATATATATATACATACATATACATACATATATATTTATATTTACATATATATATATATATATATATATATATATATATGTATATGTATATAAAATGTAAGGAAAGATCATAATTAATTTTTGGTTCACTACCAAAAATATGAAAAATTACAATTACACTTAATTAGTTTCATTGATTTTTATCAATGCTTAAGAATGCTTGATTTGTTTATTTATTTGTAAATTTTAGGCTCTTACTAAATATCACACATCACAAAAAGAAACCAATAAATCAGGCATCGAACAGGAAGATGCTTTGCTCAACGAAACAGCAGCTCTGGAAACAAGTCTTAATCTTCAAATATTGGAATTGGAAAATGAGACTAAACAGGTGATACAAAAATGATATTTTTTTCAAAATATATTACATATTATCTATATCTATGCATACAAGAAACATACCAAATTTAAATAATAATGCCATTAAATTAATTATTCTTCTCTAAATTGCAAAGAGGTTATTGAATTGGTGACTTTGATTTGAAATACAAGGAATTAAAAAAAAAAACCTGTAAATTGTATTTTCTTTAATATTAAATAGTATATGAAGAAGTATGTTTACATTAACATACAGTAGAACCTCAAATAACCGGACTAATTGTTGTCGATAGGCATCTGGATAATCGAAAATTCGGATAATCCGATGTATGAAGAATAGTGATGTGTATTTATCAAAAATAACAAATACATACATAGATATCAACGAAATTCAGTGTTTAACATTTCCTTATGTTATTTTATGTTTAATATACGATTTGTTTCCAAATAGCTATTTTTTCAAATTGTCACTTTTTGTCATCTATTTTATAGTCAATTATGACAGTTTTTTAAATCTTGTGCAACTCTTGTGAATTCTTGAAAACTTGTAGATTATGAATTAAATATTTCCAGTTGCTGAATAAAATTTTAATATGTTTTGTGCTCTCTAAAATTAAATTTATTATGATTGTTTTACATGTTTATTTCTTTCCTGCAGTTAAGGCATGAATTGGACCGAGTGGTTGCCGAAAGGGATCGGATGCTACAAGAGAATTGTGATATTGGTAAGGATAAAGCTGAAAGGGAAAATGAGAGGGCCAAATTAAAAAGTGAATTGCGAGATATGAAATATAGAGAAACACGCATGCTGGCTGATTATTCTGAGCTTGAAGAAGAGAACATTAGTTTGCAGAAGCAAGTATCTATGTTAAAATCATCACAGGTCAGTCTACTTTATTATATTATTTTTTTCTTTTATCTATTTATATATATATATATATATATATATATATATATTTAGGTTTTGTAGGTTCACATTAATGTACAAAAAATGATATTTAAATTATTAATGCTATTATTTGCCTTAAACTTGATGTTTTGTCCTAATTGACCATCAAATTTTAATAGTAATATTTTATTTACAAAAAATATTTTGTCAGGTTGAATTTGAAGGGACTAAGCATGAAATAAGACGTCTTCAGGAAAATGAAGAATTTTTGAATTCACAAGTTGAAGATTTAGGACATTTGAAGAAAATAGCTGAAAAACAAATGGAAGAAGCTTTGCAAGCTTTACAGGCTGAACGTGAAGCAAAATATGCATTGAAGAAAGAATTAGACCAACATCTCAACAGAGAGAGCATGTACAATATAAGCAATTTAGCTTATAGTATCAGAGGTACGTTAGTTAATGCTTGTAGTTAATATAAATTTGTTGAATTATTTATCTAAATTTTACATCAAAACATTTATATAAATTTTTCTTAGAAGGGTTAAATGGTCAAAGAGTATGTATGTATATTTGTGAAGATAATGTTTATTTTGGAACAGTTTCAGTATTCCAACTTTGATACCATAATATTTTAATTTCTGGGTAGAAAAATGCATGTTTTATATGCCATGCTTAAAATGCTAAACAGCATTCAATCTCAGTTATAATTTAGTATTTATTGCCTAGTTGAGTGCATTTTATTAATGTAAGGTATATCAGAAGATCAGCAGATGGTGAGTGATGGAGAGGACGATATGCCTGTTTTGAAACGCATCGAAGCTGATTTATCGGGATCTGGTGATGATCTTGCTTCTCCTGGTGGAAAACAAGTGGATTTGTTCTCAGAAATTCATTTGAATGAATTAAAGAAACTTGAAAAGCAATTAGAACTTGTGGAAACCGAAAAGGTAATTTTTTTTTTTAGTTATGTGTCAACTGGTGGTAGTAATGAATTGGTGAACATTTGTAAAAACGAAATAACAAATAAGACACTGAGTTACATTTTTTTATATAAGTGTAATAGTGTAAAATTTTAATTTATGCTGATATGAGACAAACTATGGTCTGAAATATTTGTAACTATAACAATAACAATTACCTTGAAGTTGCAGATATAGAATTCCTTAGTTTGATATTTCTTAATTCTTACAATTATATTTATATATTTAGAAAACAAATTAAAAGCTAAAATTAACATGATTTTGAATTTAATGTATTTTAGCCTTTATTGTGTTACTTTTAGGTTTTTTGAATTTATTAGTTATTATTAGTTCCATAAAACTATAAAGTATTTTACCATTTTACAAACCAGTGTCAATATTTGACCTTTTGATGGAACTTCAAAACACATTAGTAAATTTTCTTTGAAAGGAGGGCTTTCAAAATCAACCAATTATGAAAATTTTAAATTTGTAGTTTTACAATTAATCTTAATTTTAGAAAACTTAGACATACATACCATATACACGAAACCTTGAATAAACTAATTGATTCTTTTAAAAATATCTTAAATTATTCGGCGGGATTTAAGCGCCTGAACTGCATACGTTTTTTGTTACTTCTCATTTTTGTTGTTGTTTTTGTAATTTTCTAATAATTGATACATCCAAGTTGGATTTGTAATTTGCGAAGATTGTAGCAAACTGCTCACAAATTTATATTTCTGTATTATAATGTAAAATTGATTGTCATTCATGTATTTTTTTTAATAGATTTCATTGACTGGCAATCTTAGAGAATCACAAAAAATTGTAGAAAGGTGCCAAGGTGACTTACAAGGATTTATGGCAAAAGTTTTACAATTAGCTGCTCAAGTGGATTCCTTAAGTCATTTGCGACATAAAACGGAAAAGGCTGTAGAAAATACTAATAAGGTATTTTTTAATAAAAAATGTGTTAATCATTTCTACTTTGCTATAGTAGTAGTAACTTATAATATAAAAATATATCTGATTGTTTCAGCTTGGATCATTATATTACACCTAAGTCTGTTTTTACACGGTCTTTTTGTACTCGGTTTTGATATAACACGGTTTGAAAATTGAATATTTTTAATTTTTTTACACGATTTTATTCCATTTAGCACGATTTGAAATTTTATGTACTTAAATTTTTTTTGTCAAATTTAATTTTTGCGAAGTATGTTCATATCACAAAAAAGTATTTATGAAAGAAAAAAGTCCGAAACCATCGATAGTATCGATAGTTTGTGAACACTAGCTTAAAGATTTAAGTGAACTCCCCTTTAGCGCGTAACAAACAATTTTTACTGGTAAAGCATATGTGAATAGCACTAATTTAATTCTTGTTCTTAAAAATTCTTGTTTTTCACCAATTTTAATAGGTTTTAGAGATTAAGAACAAATCACCCATTTTTGTATAAGATAAATGTCTTTTTTTATACATTTTTTTTTTACACGGATTCTTCTGGAACCAATCTCCGTGTAAAAACAGACTTAGGTGTATTTATATTTCTTAGTTGAATTTAAACATTATTACTAAGTCATATAATATATATACACATTACTTAAAACAATTGCATATTATCTTTTTTTTAAATTATATAGTATAGTATATATATATATATATATATATATATATATATATATATATATATAATATATAATATATATACACATTACTTAAAACAATTGCATATTATCTTTTTTTTTAAATTATATAGTATAGTATATATATATATATATATATATATATATATATATATATATGTATGTATGTATATATATATATATATATATAATTGTTCATTTATAATTATTTAATATAAAAATACATGCTTTGGATATAAATTAAAAATTATATATAATTTGATAAAAATAAGTATAATTTGAATATAAATAAAAGATAAAGAATTATATATAACATGAAGAATTATCATAAAAGTGGTCATTAAATAAAAAAAATAAGGAATAATTTTATGATATCTATATTATATCAAATTCTATATTATTTTTAATAGTTAAATTTATAATTTTTGTGTCTACTAATTTTAGGGTGCTAGTATTTATAATAATATGATGGTATTATTAAAACTATTTATTATAAATATATTTTTTAATAAATGTTTTTTATAATTTCATAATTTTTATAAATTTATAATTTCTTTTGTGTCTACTAATTTTAGGGTGCTATTGCTGAGAAATTGTCAATAGCAGTCAACCAGTACCAGCAATTCTTTAAGCTGTCAGCTCAGGAAATAGATGAACTTAAAAACAATTTTAAAGATTTAGAAAATGACCTGCATTGCAGCGATGCAATGGTTTTACTCAGGACAGAAATAACCAATCTTAAAAACAAGGTAAATATTCGTTTTATCAATATTGAATTCAATAATTGTAATAATTCAATTATATTGCTATTCCAAATGATGTTGCAAATATTACATTTATATTTCTGCAGTTGCTGGATGTTGAACAACACAGTTCAGATTTAGAATCTGATATACGACTATTAGGTAAACTTGCTGGTGAAGCCGGAAGTTCTTTGGAAACTGCCCAAAATGACTTACTTGCCGTTTCTGATGAATTAGCACAGCTGTATTATCATGTTTGTACAGTTAATGGTGAAACGCCTAACAGAATAGTATTGGATCATGAAAAAGCGCCTGGTACATGTCTGTTTAATTTGTTTTTATCCATTATCTTAATTTAGCGATTTATTAAGAGTATTTCATATTGCAGCTTCTGAAGATAATGCTGAATTGAATGTCAGTAGGATTGAATTGTTGCGTAGCCAACTCAAGACATACATTCCTGGTAATGATTTAGAATACTTATCCGATGCGACAGATCTGTCTAAACATATTTCTATAATCTTGGATCAGATGAAACATTTAAGGAATTCAGTTGAAAGCACAATTGAAATGTCTAAAATCAAAGGAGTTCGGGCCAATGCTTCTGATGGTTTGTCAAGTTGTTTTAAAATATTTTTAAGATTAAATTATGCATTAAATGCATTTTTGTTAAAACTGTATGTGCAGTTAAATTGTGGTGTTTTGTTAGGTGACATATTTTTATCTAAAAAATTCTATTATTTTCAGCAAATAATGAAGATAATAAAGAAGCAGAAGTTGTGGAACTTCAAGAACAAATAATAAAACTTAAATCATTACTGTCAACAAAACGGGAACAAATAGCAACCTTGAGAACAGTATTGAAATCAAATAAAAATACTGCTGAAGTATTGTTAACCAATTTGAAATCTAAATATGAGAATGAGAAGACGATTGTTTCTGAAACAATGATGAAGCTCAGGAATGAGTTGCGAGTTCTGAAAGAGGATGCAGCAACATTTTCAAGTAAATTATTTAATTTAACAATATTTTCAAGTAAAATGAATTAACTTAAACACTCTTCTCTTTGAAAAGAGATTAGTGATTATGTCATTACTTATTTCAGGAAATTGTGAAAATCATTGCTTTTAAAATATTAAAGTTGTGATCTAATTAGGTATTGATTGATGTCTTTTAATGTTTAGGTTTGAGAGCAATGTTTGGTGCACGCTGTGAAGAATATGTGACCACCGTTGACGAATTACAGCGACAACTGACAGCTGCAGAAGAAGAAAAAAAGACTCTCAACCAATTATTACGACTAGCTGTTCAACAAAAACTCATGGTCAATCAAAGGTTAGAAGAGTTAGAAATGGATAGAGAATTACGAAATGCTCGTAGACATAATAATGCTTCTAATGTCGGCGGACGCGGAGCCAAAACCTCATTTCCTAGAGCAGGTCGCAGTCATTCTGGCAGGGAATTTTTTTAGCCAAGACATGAGCCTGTGCGATGCGTAATAGCTCTAGTCAATACATTATGGAAGCTATGAAATGTACATATTAACAGCTTACATAGTTTGATTCATAAATTTGTTGTGGTGAGTTTCTGGTAGGTAATGACAACTTATTCATAAATTCATAATTTTTGATTTTACTGTAGTAATACATATAAATTACTAACACCTGCTTCTTTTATATATTTGCAAACTATCTTGCTTTTACTTGGTTTCAATGCTGCAAATACGGCTTTTTGTTTTATTATACCATACATATAAAAATTTATATAATGCAGTTTTTATGGTATTAGTTTTTCTAAGGAAATGAACAATCTTGCATCTAAATTTGAAAGATGATTTGCATGTATAATTGATCTGACATTTATACATATATTTATTTGTCCTTCATTTATTATATCCTTTATTAGCTAAAAATTGCCAATTTTTTATGATTATTTAATTTGAATTGTCATTACTACTAAATCTTTTAAATGCCAATAGCCCTGAAATTTATTGAAAAAAAAAATAGGTAGCTTTATTATCTAATGGAATATTCAAAAACGATAAATACCTTTCTAGAAAAATTGGTTGTGCCTCGATATTTAATTATTATATTCTAATGTAATTTTAACATAAACCACAACAGTTTGGGATTTTAAATTAATTTTAATAATTTAAATTGCTGTTTTAGTATTATTGAGGTACAATTAAAATATTCTAATATTAACTAATCATTATCTTTTTTAATTTTAAGTAGGACTCACTTAACAACTGCAACTACTATTTTGAAAAATCTGTTATTTTATTAGCTGTTATGTTTGAACAAATTTGTGTCTACAAGTTGTTATTAAATTAGAATGCTAAGTATACAGCTACTCACAAATTTTAATGATTGTGAATCTATTCTAATATAAATCTGGATACTTCTAAATATCTGAGAAAAAATCGTTCAGTTTTGATCAGATGGATCTAAATTATACATTGAATAGATCTAAATTATTCCTGTATTCGAGAATACAATTCACAGTTGAATATTTTTTTAAATTGAAGTCAGTATTATCATTTATCCCTATCAGTATTTTCATATTTTATGAAATGCACTTGAACAGTTTCTTCTCAAAATCTATGTGATTAATATCCCGTCCTTTTCAAAACAATGCAATTTTCTGTTCAAATTTGTTTATGATTTTGACTGAAGTTGCTAGTGTTCGACTGGGCTATTATATACAGGCTATGTGTCAAAAATCTAAGCAGGCTGTTTCAAATAAGAATGAATATTTCCCTATAAATCTGTAAATTTAACAGAATCTGATGGCAGCCTTTTTACATTGTTTATTTAAGACTTAATTCTTTTCTCATAAGTAATATTAGTAAGATTCTTGCTTTATGTCCTATTCTGAAATATATATATATATATATATATATATATATATATATATATAAATGAATGATATGTATGGGGTTGTGAATTTGCTAATTTATAAGTTTATGAAAATTTAATAAATTACAAATTGACAGTTTCTGTTCACGCATGGGCAATAGTAGGGTTTTAACCAAACTGCCTCTGTGTTCAATCATGCAACTATATTTTTACTTTATAGCTTGCAAGGGTTTGGAGAAAATTTTCTATTCATGCATTTTTTTATGATCAATTTAATGGTATTAGACATAATTTTGTGTAATGAAAGAATTACTTTCTTAATTTTACCAATGTTTGCTTGGGCTCTTTTAGTTGTATTTGGATGTTTATGGAATTACCATCAAGAGAGTAAAATAAGTTAAAATAGATGTATTAATTGAAATTTGATCGGCAGCTCTTGAAGAGGCTTTTAAGAAATAAGAAATATATGTAATATATAAAAGTCATTTACTTATTCTAAGTTTAGCTCATTGTGAAAACAAAACGTTCCATTTTCAAACTGTCCAAGTTTTTTCATGAAAAGTCTAAGATATCTTGATGACAATAATGTTGGGCAAGCCTAATATTTTTACAACTTTTATTCCACATTATTGTCAAAATAAAATATCGATGGATTTTAATTTTATCAGGGTGTACGAAATGTTCTTTCCGAGCCACTTGAAAATGGAACAACCGTCCCTTTATAGATTTAAATAAAATATCTAACAAAATTTCAGAAAATTCTATGTTATTAATATTCTTCAGTATTCTTTGTGACTTCAAGAATCGATCATGTGCGCAAATATAATATATATGTATATATATATATATATATATATATATATACACACACACACACATACATACATACATACATACATGAGAAGATTCTTGTTTTAGACACTTTAAAATTTTTTTTGTTACATCATGTTGGAACTTTATTCATAGATCAATGTAAAGTAAAAAAGACATTTGCGATTAGAACATAATAATTATACAGCATTAAATACTAGTTTTTAATGTATTTAGATAGTAAGCGTTATAAATTATAAACTCATTTAATTCACCTTTGTCCAATCAGGTGCTGTCGAAACTTGTGTTATATGTGTGCAATTATAATTTTTAGTGTAATTATATTTCTGAATACTTCAAAGAATGGTTGAGGATCTAGTTTTATAGCAAATTTTATTAATATTAATAACTGCTTCATAAATTATATTAGTGTTATTATATAATAATGTACTTAATTATTTTTAAGTTTAGCCAGACTTAATGTATTATGGAGATCGTAAACTTATCTTAATGCTATTGAGAATATGTTCAATGTAGTGCTACATTATTATGACTTTTTTATATCTAGAAAATGTAGAGAGCCAGGAGATTTAACTTATTTGGTTATTAATCGCTGTGATAGCATCATAGCAAAATGTATATGAATGTTTTCATCGCAATATAAATTAATACTATTGAGTTTAACTCAAATTAATTGATTCATATGCTATGTCTTTTATATGCAAGTCTGTGTTACAATTGAAAATTTTAAAATTTATATATTTGTATTGGTGTTATAAAAATAATGTTTACTGAAATTTTTCTATAGATGGATTGCACTAATCGAAAAAGGCATTTTGAAGAAGATGCAACTTTTTAGTGCGATCATTATTATTATTTAAAATCTTGAATTATATATTTAATGTAATATTTTATTTAATATAGGTTTGAAATATATTATTTATGATAATATTTGTTATTTTTATCAGGCTAATAGCTGTTGAATTTTGTTTTTAAGTACACGTTTCCAATATTCAATTTTATGTTCAGTAATTGTAATTTGAAGAAATATTGAATGATGTTATATTTTTCCTACATCAGTTGTTTTGAAAATTGACGAATTTTCTTGTTTTGATGTTTTACAATAGCTATTTTATTAAAATTATGGATAAACAATTGCGATTAAAATATCAGATAGTGTGCAAAACACTTAATTATATATATATATATATATATATATATATATATATATACATACACATATACATACACATACATATATATATTTGTGTGTGTCTGTGTTTAAGTCTGATAACCTATATGTTTGTTCAGAGTTGTTGAAGGGTAAAAATCATTCAATCAATCAGTTTTAATAACGTTTCAAAACTGGTCAACAAATATTCTAAAAATAAGCATTACAGAGTGTATTGCTGTCATTTCGTTTATTTATGACTTTACTGCATAATTGCTGCATCACTTGTTAAACCTCCTTTAGAATAGATTTGTTTAAAAATGTAAATTCGCGGTGTTAAGGAAATTTATAGTGTTTTATTAATATTATTAATGTGTTCTCTGAGACTAGGATGGAAGCACAAAACATCAGGTTTGTGAAAGACCAGCTAGTTTTGGGTGGTAAGGATGTAAATTGCATAAATTGATAGTTATTTGTTAGTAACGATTGTTTATTAGTAACAAGTTTTTTGATAAACTGGTGTCGACTATTTAAAATTATGTTTGCATTGTCATTATTGGCTTGTGACAATGGCTGATGTCAGGATTGTTTTTAAAAAAATTTAAGATAAGATTACACAGTTCAGTTAAGTATATGATTTTTTTTAAAAGTTTTGATGGAAGTTTATTGTTATTTCTGAGATTTCTAAACATTTAAAGTTTGAATAAATGATTATAGTTTCAACTACTTTTGACAGCAAATTCACTCTCATATTATTATATTGTCTAGGTTCTCTCTACCATTGCTTTCAAATTGGAATTATTTTAATACAATTTTTGATTAAAAAGACACGAATCTTAAACTAATGTTGGTTACCATGTAATCTTGTGATGAATGATTAAGATGTTCAAACTTATTTAACTTAGTTTGGTGACAAATAGGAATATTATTCTTGTGGCATCTTAATCAGAAAATGTTTGTTATTATTTAGTTAATTTGGAGTTGAGTTTCGAAATGGTTTTGAATTGTGACATGTGTATAAAAATCGTAGTATTTTTGTATAACTTTGTGAAATTAATTATGGATAACCTTGTTGTTTATCTTGTAAATTGTGAAGTTGTTTTCGAGCAAATGGTATTATTGTATATATGTTATGCAATTTGTTTGATATGAATTTTTGGTCATTGAAGAACATTGAAGAGGAAAGTGCAATTAGGTACATATATCGTTTTTTATATGGCTGTTTTCTGTTGAAAATTTTGCTTTACGAATTGATTGGTTGTTATACCGTATTTAGAAAAAAAGCTTAAACGTCAATAAAAAGAGTAAAAATAACGTGAAAATACCCAATAGTAAATTTTGAAAAGAAAATCTGTCTTGCTTATTTATCTATGGTAAAATAATAAAATCCCGAATACTTAATAGATTATGATAAACAATCCAACTTAACTATGAGTCATAAAAGGCATATTCAGTTTGCAATGTGGTATCAATAGAAACAATTAACCAAATAATAACTCAAATACCGCAAATTTGTAAATTATTGTTCTGCTTATTGTTTAATGTACTCTTAAATTTTTTTCTTCGTTTGAAGTTAACATGGAATCGAAAAAGAAAATATTTAGTGTTCAATCCCGTAAGAGCAAACCTACGAAAATTTAAATTAATTATTGAGCGTTATTGATGAAAAATAGCAAGTTGATTTAGTTAAAATGGAACTTGTTAAAGAAATATATACTAATTATAATAGAGAAAATAGAAAATGGGGAGTCAGTAGTCAAAAATTGGCTTGTTTATTCCGAAAAATTGTATTATAACTTTTGTTTTTGTTGCAAACATATCACATCTGATGAACTTTGAACGTTGAAGACATGCGTGGTTAGGTTTATGGATCAAATATGAAAAATGAAAGCAAAATGTACTTAGGAACAAAAATCTTTAAGATTTGGTTCTGCATAGTTAATTATTAACTATGCA